CTCAGAACACTTACAGAAAATATGCAAGATAAATGCAATTGAGCAAAGAAGGGCTATTGGAATAATCATCTCGCTCCATGACTAGCGATAATAATCGAAAACTGTAAAAATAAGGTGAAATTTACGCTCAGAGAATTACTTCAGAGAATTTCAAAATCTTCAAATATCAAGTCGCGTGTGTAATGAATGTTCACAACGAACATGAATGTTGACGTACGAGGTATTTGTACCAAAGGGCTTTATGTTTTCTTTTAAAGTACTTGGCGCTCTTTTCCATTGCTGTTATTGAAACGATTTGAAGAACGATTTACTTCCACATTAAAATTCCACATTAAAGTCAGTGGAATCGAGTCAAGGATATGTGCGCCAAAGTTCAACATACTATTACAACTCTGAGAATTCGAAATTAAGGAGGTATACGTTATAAAAATTAACTGTGGGCATGACTACGTTTGTAAGTGCGATTAGCTGAAAGGCGAAAGAGCTTTGAATTTTACTATTAATTGTTGTTAACATGTACTTATTTAAGAAGCAATCATTTATTTTGATTTTTTTGCTCTACATTCTTCTTCTTCCATTTTTTTTTTGGTATGGACTACCAAACGTGTTGCAAACAGAAATAGTATTGCGATGTTAAATTCTTGAATTTTTTTAGGGCTATCGTCATAACGCGTGACAAAATTTGTGATGGGTGTTCTGATCCTTTTAACCTTTACTTTTGTCCTCTTTAGTTTTGCATACACATTGTTAAGCAAGCGTCATTGCCTGCCTACAAACTGAAAATAAAATTAAAGATGTGTACATAACTCAGAGTACTTTGATATGGATACTAAATAAGCACAAAAGAATAAGTACACAAGATAAAAATGGACAATCTTTAATTTGTGCGAAATAAACGAAAGTATACATACATATGCACACACAAAAAATGAATCACTAATGTTGATTAGACAACAACAATTTTTGAAGGAATATAACTTGAAAAGGCATATATACTCCTAATATACCCTCATACATACATCCTCATATATATATATATATATATATATATACATATATATATATATATATACTTGTATGTATATGCAGTACATAGGAGATATGTTTTGTGCACAATAAGAAGTCATGCCAAGACAATTTGAACAAACATTCATACGTGCAGTCAGTCACAGATATTCATGCGTGTGTGTATGTTGGTAACTATGTACATTTGTGTGTTATCAGAAAGTCCTCCGCATACTTAAACCTCAGACACGGTCGTCGTCACAACGTATACTTTCTTATTATATAAATGTGTATTAGGGAAAGACCGAGAAAGGGTGTATTTGTGTTTGTGAATGTGTGTGTGTGTGTGTGTGTATACGATTGTGTATATGTTTGTGCCTGAATTACACATTGAATGAGTTTACGTTTCGCTAAAGAGAACGATAAAGGAGGTGGTTTAAAGCTACTAATATGAGTCTGACAAGCCAACGTTTTTGTGTTCGCATGGGTGGTTTTAGTTGACGTTGTAGTCTCGCGCATTGACTGAATAGCTGACTGAATGTATGTAGAATTAGAAACATGTGTGTAAGTGGAAGTCTGTTTATACTTACACATGTGCTATCTATTGGAGTGAGTGCGATTTTACAAGTATGGGTGGGTGGTCGAGAAAACAACTTCTCTAAAAGGGCTCACGGTAATTCATCAAACGCAACAAAAGAAGAAAAGCTTCTTGGGCGGCTACACACAAAGTAACAATCACACAACCAAATACGAGGGGTACAAACATTTCTTACATATATATATATATACGTAAACATGTGCTCATCAACACATACGAACAATTCATATATGTATATATTTAACAACTAAAGTTTCATGCATGATATGTAGAAAACCGTTTCAGTATACGTTTAGATGTACGTTATGTTGATGGGGGTATCGGGTATTTGACAACAACTCACTTCACTTCTATATTGCAGACTAAAAGACTAAATAAGCGAGCACATTATTTTGGATGGATGTGGAGATGGAGGTGTTTGTGTGAGTGGTGGGTGGGTCATTTTGTTTGAGACTTTAATGTATTTTCTTGGTTTACTACATATTCTGAAAATCTTTGTAGTTGCGTGTGCTCTTGTGTAAATATGCATACACGGCACTCCTTTTCATATGCTCCTCATATGTCTTTCTGTTAGTCAATGCATGGGTGTTCGTTATTGTAACCCTTAGAGTCTAAAAGAGTCTTAGCTGCTAGATTTTTAAGGTGCAGTCATGTTAGAGTTTTAGAAGTTTTTTTTCTTTTTTTTTTTTTTGCTGTTTTCATAACATTATCCTTCTGCCCCTCTGCTCTTCTGCACCTCTGCCCTTACTCTGCTATTAACACCAAGTAAGTTGGTCAAGCAAAACAGTTAAGACTATAATGAAAAAGGCAAGCATGGGAGTGATGTGGGTAAAGTGAACGCAGACAACAATTTCTGGCATTATTACTCTTCCCTTCGTAGAGGAGCGCACACAAAAACAACCGCACACGCGCGCATATACACACGCACATTTACTTACATACCTAAGTACATTTTCATACTACATCAATTTATATTTTACTAAATGAAATTTTGCCCCTTTTTTCCTACCTATACCAATAACTAAACTTATTTTGTTGTTTGTCTCAAGCTTAAGAAAGTTGTACAGTTTGTTCAATATACAGATGAAGGAGAATCTATAGTTTGTTGGCAGAGTTAAGTAGAAAGCAATTGATATAAACTTATATATCTTCCCTCTAGCCTTGCCTTTATTCACCAACCCTACGCTTTTGTGCTCCATATTTTCATTTTTCCTTATGAGCAATACTTGTGCCTGGTGTGTCTTTTCATATCCATTATACTTCCATGTATATATATATATATGTATATATATAGACCAATGTATGTAGATGTTTGCTTAGAATGCTTAAGACACAGCAAGGCACAGTGCACACAACGTCACAGGCAGCATACATTCTCTAATTTAACTCAAACTTTACGTTCCCAATATCCCCAGACTCTATCAATGATATGATTTTTTTTTTTTCCTTTCTTATTCTCTTCTTAACTTTGCTGAGGCTTTACTCTATTCCTACAGCAACAGCAATACCAACAGCAACGGCAACAGAAACAACAACAAGAGCAATTTACTTATACAATAGTTGTTGTTTTCTTGATAATGCCAAAGTTACAGAAGGAAATTTTTTGCTTCAGTAGAGGAAAATTTTTTCTAAACATTTATCTACAGACACCCAATCATAGTAAACATATACATACACATGTATATATATATATATATATACGTGTACGTATATCATTACTTATGTATACAAATACGTGCATTTCTTCGCAAATGTAAGTCTACGGACATAATAATAGTTCGTAGAGGAAGCAATTCTTGAATATACCTTCAAATAATATAACACAACATAATATGTAAAATTTTAACGATCCTATTGGAAAATTTCTATAAATAAATATGCAGAGTCAATATGAACAGGTTGAAACAATGACAAAGAAGCAAAAAAAAAAAAGAAAAGAAAACGAAGAAATAGAAAGTGAAGTAATTGTATTTCTCTGCAGTTCGTGTTTTTATCAGTTCAAGACAAAAGCTATTTCAACAATTGTTACTACCACCTACGCTCTCTTGCCATGGTAAGCTCATTAACTAATTTCAGTTAATGGACCATTATCAGCAAAGTTCACGTGTCTATCTCCTACACCGAAAAGCACCTAATATCGATGAAAAATTTAATGTTAATCTTATCTCTCCTGAAATAAATCGGATATTTTATAATAGTTGGGAGAAACGCTAAAGCAGGACTTGATTCCTTTTTCCGTCTTCTTTTTTACCCCTCACGATGGAAGTTGCTCTCATCATTCTTAAAGCGTTGTTTTTGTTTTATGATCAAACCCTTGAAGGTTACTTCAAGAGCTAAGAGTTTCATAACTAACGTAAAGCCAACTGACCAAATACTGTCAATTATTAAAGCTAAGCATAAAGTAGTAGTGTCACACAACTGGTAAGTAATAGTTTCAAATTCTAACATGACATAATCGGTCGTTGGTGAGGAAAAGTTTTTAAATATACGGTTCTTTCCTATTGGAAAACTAACTTTAGCGGTAATTCTGCTCACGTTGTCCCGTTTAAAAAGCTGAGCAACTCTTGCAATATTTAAAAGCTTACATTAAATTGTCCTCAGTAACTCTGAATAATTAATATGATACCCTATTAACTCTTTCCACTCCTACGTTGACTAAGTGTCGTCATCGTATTTCTTACATCAACTTCTATGTCAAGCTGGTCTCGACGTTGTGTTATTCAAAATTTTTAATATTTTTTTTTTTTTTTTTCCTTTCAGATACGAAATGTCTCGTTTATGTCTTTTCTTCAAACCAATTAAGCAGTTAGTGGTTGCTAAAAAAAAAAAAAAAAAAAAAAAAAAAAAACAATAATAATAAAAAAAGTGAGTGGGGTTCAAAACATCTCGTTTCTCCGACAGCCTGTATGCTGATAAGAATTTAACGCCGAATTAAACTTTTCAAATTTGTCAATTTATGTCTGCGATAAGAAATCTAATAAAGTGCTTGGCCGAAGCTCTTTAATTGAGTGGAAAGAAAACCTTCGTTCGATTTTTCTCCACAACTGCAGTAAACATGGCTCAGTGCTCAGTTAAAGCCCAGTTAACTATTTCAAGGAATCTAGTTTACTATCCCGCTCTTGGGGCGATATATTCCAATGTTCATTTTCCTATAATTCTTAGTTAGTACTGACATAACGTACCTATAAAATATATCATCAGTCTCTATATTAGGCTATCCTCAATTTGGGATTTGTATGAATCGATAAGCAAAACAGGAATTAATTAAACAGATTAAGACTAAATTAATATAGAATTTTGAGTAATAATTACTATCATATCCGCAAATCAGTCTCCCCTTATAATTTTTAAGATTTTTCCAACTTTTAGAAAATACTCTGCTATGGTTATTTCTTACCTTATGCAACAGCACCGAGGCCTTACGTTTTGAAGCCATTTTAGTTGATCCACCTCCGCCACCAGTTGACGACGCTGTACGTGTCGATTGTTTAGGGGTTTTTCTCGGATTTTTCGGAATTTTGAATAATTTTTTTGAAAACTGGTCAGACGATATATAGATTTCTTGGAATAAGAGAGTAACACAACAAATTATTTATCTTATAAATTGTAAATAATCCCTTATTACACACGCCACATAAATGCACAACGATTATGTTTTGAAAATGTTTTTTATTTTTATTTTTTATGTTTTGATCGAATCCGTTTTTTTCCTTTTCCTTGGATCATCCGTTCTCTATCAATTCTTCCTTCTCGTATTTTTGTAATATTTTAATTTTCTTTTTTTTTTTTCTTTTTTTTTTTTTTTTTAGAATCTATTTTTTCATTTCATGTTTGTTGTATTTGAAAATACTGTTATATTTGAAATTTTCAAATTTGATTTTCTATTGTTGGGGCAATGCTGAGCGGAGAGAGAGCGCACAGGCAAGCTATCTACACGACAATTCTTAGCGAACTGATCAAAACAGAAACATGCCAATGAATTTTAATTTTATGTGGCAACAGTGATGGCAGCAACAAAAAGTGAAAAGAAAGGAAGAAGAACAACAACAAAAAAACAACAAAAAATAACAAAAATCCTATAAACATGAGAGAGAGATGACACTTGCTGGCTGGCTGGCTAGCTAGCTGGCTGGCTGCTTGTATTGGTATTATTAATATTTGATGGCGATGTGTGCGTGAATTTCTGTGACGAGCATGCGCTTAGAGTGGGCGCCAAATAACGGTATGATAAACAACATGTGGGACGTTTTCGTCGATTAGTTTAAAAACTAAAGGAAAAGCACCGATAAAAGTGCATATGAAAGCAGAAATTGCATAAAAACAACAACAATAACAATGACTAAAACATGATAGATGATTAGCAACTGCGAAGAAGTAAGAAAAACACACATTTTTTTGTTTTTATATTTTTTTTTTTTTTTAGATAGAAAAACAAAAACAAACAATAACATACCGTTGATGATGATTATGATGATGATGAATGGTGGAGTAAGTAGAGTAGAGTAGAATTCACAAAAATCATGTGAGCATATATTGTAGAGCACTCGCAAATTAACACAACATAGTGTGAGAGTTCGCTGTTGATTTGGCTGCATATAGAGGAAAGTACACGAGTACAAAAACAGAGAAACGGCAATAAGCGGCGAAATGTCAAAATGTTAGTCATTTCTTATCACATTCGCCGAACTGCACGACTGACGTGCGTATTCGTCAAACAGCTGTAATGACGTAGTGAGTATGCCAAGGAAGAGAACGCGGCATGACAAAAACACATGCTTGATTGGGGTGGAAAATCTATGGTTGTATGCTGGTGATGGTGATGGTGGTGGTTTGGTACTTTCTACAGGCCCGAACGAAGCATAGGCAACGTTATTGTAAAAGTTAGCACACATTCCAGTGATATGTAGGTAAGAGAGCGCGCGTAACAAAACAGAAGAAAAAAAAGAAAAAAATCGCATGAATAAAACAACTGTTTAACGCATTGTAGGTTTCAGAGCAATGTGGAGGAGGCAGTAATGATGGAAATATGTAAGCTGGTTTGAGTGTACCGTAATAGGGAATGAGAGAGAGAAGAGAGCAAACAAAAAGACCGGTCGGTGTCGGTGTCGGCGTTTCGGACTTAAGCAACGAAAAAGAGAAAATTAAAACACATTCGCACGCACACACACATGTGTAAGCAGACACCCATCACCAGCACCACCACCACCACCAGCACCACCACCACCACCATCACCACCACTACCGCTATTAACAGCATAAGACCGACCATAAAAGGAAGAACAAAAAAGGACGTAACGGTAGCTAGAAAAAAGGTTGAGGGATACAAAATTTGAAAAGCACGCGGTAGATTGAAATTTTTTCAAAAAAGGTCTGGTACTTCGGCTACTTGCATTAATTTATGTACATGTACCGTTGTGTATGTAAGTTAGCAAATATGTACTCCCGTGGACAACAAAACATTGGCGGTGTGTAAGGGTGCATTTGTGTGCAAAACGTCGTCATATTAGTTGTAGAATGAGTGATAAATGATAGAAAAATAACGTGGAGTAGCGTATAGTTTGCTTATTGTTGTTGTTAATGCTGGAAAGCATAAAAAACATTTTCTGTGTTTTTACCGAAAACAAAAAAATAGAAATATATCAGCGGACTAAACTTTATGCTTTCATGTATGTATGCAAGACTACGTGCGGCATGGGTAACGGTCAACTACGTACGATTGAAAACCGGATTTAAATATCTGTAAGCAGTTATGTGTTTTAAAGTTAGGTTAATATCAAAAAAAAAAACAAAAAAAAAAAAAAATAACACACAACCTCATGGTATATTTCCAGTGATTATGCACACACACGCACATATACACACGCACATACAAATATGTGTAATTGCACTTCTTGTATATGACTGTGCGAATAAGTATTTATGCGTTTGCCTGTTATCGTTGCATTGTACAAAACATTGCTTTTGCCGCACGGCCTGAGCGATTGAAAATCGTTTCCTATAAAGAACCAAATTTTTAGGACTTAATTAAGTGTTTAAAGATCGGTACCCCGACCCTGCACCAAAATATATTTCAAGGGATTCTAAAAACAAGACAAAATGAAAAAAGCGATGCATGTAACGCTTAATGCATTGCGGCCGATGTCTCAAAGTTTTGCCTAAAATACCAGTTTGGCTTGTGATTTATTAGATTTAACAATAATGAAGAATGGCAAAAATAATGCAGCAAAAAGCATACTTCAGCTAACCGCAGTGTAAGACGAAAACTAAACTGGTCTCTCAAGCCCTTTTAAAACCTTTACGTTTAAAATAAATCATTCCGCCGCAACAAAAGGAGTGAAAATTTTTTGTTTTTTTTTAACATGAGCAATCACTCGGAGGATGTCCCCTATACATGTAACAGGGGCAGGGATATGGAATGGCTGCAGGCTAGTGGATGCATATCCATTCGGTAAGAATTATCCTTTGACCCATTGAGCGTTCACTGTCCCTTCGACCATCTGTGCTCTGCTGCACCGAGTCCTGAAACCGCGAACATTGATTTGGTGGACGCGATTGTTATCTCTTCAGCTACTCATACCGTAAGCAACTGAAAAGGATTTCTCCTTTTGCAGATGAATGAAAATACTCAATACAGATAATGCAATGTAATTAAAAAACTTGACCAACACAGCAGGCTTCTTAAAAGTGAAACGTAGAAATTATATAATAAGAAAAGTGGACTCTAATTTTCTTAGGACTATCGATAAGTACAGGTAAAAAATTGAATTCGTATCTCTTTTTTCATTTCTTCTGTAAATGCTTCACCAAAACGGGTTGTAAGAGTCCATTTAGTTTCCTCTATATTCTCCTTCCATTCCACCTTTCGACACATAATTCTCTAGTAGCCACCACAGGAGAAATATTTATCGCATATAGAACGAAGACCATTACCGTTAATGGTGGATAGCAATTAGCTCGTCCCTTGCCTGGGTATCATAAGGTTGCCACGTCATTTTTCCTATCGCCTGTTTTCAACCAGAAGGATCGCGCAAAAACGCCAACAACCGAAAAAGGAGTAGTGGAACTTTTAGATCGACAACAAAGCCCTACATTCTTTATACCTTAACTTACAGGGATTAGCTGCAGAAAGCTGTGATAATAACATCATTGCGGAATGCTCCCATCAACAAGCGATGCTATCGCCTTGAATCTTATGGGGGGAATCTGTATAATAAGCAAAAAGATACTATGATCAGACTTCTCAACAAGAAAACGGTCGGTTCCGTAATGCAAATCGACCGAGCAGTGGCAACGTCAATTACGATATCCTGTCACATCCGGTTATTACATTTGACCTAATAATGTAATAATGAAATTCTGGTCTGCCTTAGCAACGCGTCTATTCTTATGACAACATAAATAAAGTGATATCATAAGGTGAGCTGTTTCTTTGACAAGGAGTTGACACGCTGAGCGAAAGATTGAAAAAGTTCCGGCTAACGACAGAAAGGCATGGAGTTTATTTCTTTTACGTATACATAGTCAATATCATTGAAGCGATCAGTTTCAATCTCTTCCTCAGATTTATGTTCCAAAATTTATTTAAGCCTACTTCGATGTTTCAATTTTTGTGAAGTTTGGGAATCACTTTTGTTACGAGCAATAGCAGATTTTCCAAATTGAAAAATAAATTTTATTGACATCAGAACACAATAGCCGTAGGTTCACATCTCAAGTGCGGAAAATTTTCAGTGCAGGACTTAAAGATTCGATTGCTTTGTTCAATAATATAGGCAAGCTTTGCTTTTGCAATTTACTCAAAATATCTATACCGGCGATACGGTCAACTTAGTATATTAATTAGCGTAGAGTAAAAATCCACTGCAAGTCGTCTGTAGTAATCGAAGAATAAAATCGAGCTTCGCCGCAAACTGCAGCGCGACGGTACATTTCGCAAAGCATCGATGAAAACGTTACAAACGGGCTTCGCGAGCACGTTCTTGTCGTGAGTCCATTTTATTAGAATACTCATATCTCCTACATTGTGCTCTTTTGAATAGCATCTATTTGATATACTTAGCGCTTCATCACTTCTTGAAGATCAGCAAAACATAAGAACCCGTTCAAACTATATATAATCCTATATATCAAAGCATAAGACCGTGTTTTCATACAAAAATGATTAAGAAGAATAATCTCATATAAGAATGAAAAGTAAAATTTTCAGAAACAGCAACTTTCGTCTTAACAACTCGGTCCAATGCAATTAGCTAAATGCCCTCACACATGTTATGCTCATTTTTTAAATGATAAATTCGTGGTTTTCTCATTCACCACTTTTTGTCTTTCATCTTCCGTCCGATTTGTGACAGTGCTGGTAAAAAAAAAACTACTGATCACTTATTTTCGGTATGTTGACAATTTCTCTTCTATTACTGTGAGGATGTTCCATAAACGTATCTCGTTCATTTCTCGTGAACCATAATAGCAAAATATGTTTCTAGTCATTGGATTTTATTTGAAATTTAGGTATATGTAAGGTTTAGCTTATTGCATTAAATCTGCAGCAATAAAAACGGAAAAGTACGTAGCCCTTGTGTAGTGGAACAAAGAAAGCAATAAACAATAGTTAGTTCTCTTAAAACTGCATACGAAAGATGAGATAAAAAAGGACAAATTAACATTTTGCGTACTAAGAAAGTCTGTTGTCAGTCGCGGTTTTTGCATAATTTTAGGGCTCAGTTGATTGAAAATTCATCTCGCGTCGTCATAGGTCATGATAGGT